TGAGAAACGATTTCCCTTTTTCCTCAATGCAATGAAAACCTGCTGCTGCCACTCTGCTCTCATGTACACAAACTGATTTACATGTGAAAAGTTCTGATGGTCTTCTGTTAAGCTTTTGTTCATGTTTGAATCTCACTACAAGAAGCAAATGCAGCACAGGAACTTTCTGTGTTCGAACAGTTTTTAGTGACGGGTCAATGAACACGGTGCTCGATGGAAACACAAGAGCTAAATGTGGTGAAATAAAGATCATTTTACTAGTGCTGAGGGGATGTAACACAGCAGCTGCTGACATACCTGTAGTTGTTTGCAGGGGTAGAACGTGTTGAGTCCAGCTCCCTGTTCAGCTTGGAGTAGTCTATAGTAGATGAAGCTCCTGCCTCCAGCTGGGCAAAGAACCGGGCCTTCTCCTCTTCCTCCTCCAGAGTGTCTAAACCCACCGCGCTCATGTACACAGCTGACACCGTCGCCGAGCCTGCACACACATTTAAACACAGCTGACACCGTCGCCGAGCCTGCACACACATTTAAACACAGCACAAGTGGGACACTTCTCCACAAGACTCCTTCATAGTGCTTTATGTAGGTGGACACATGAGGAGGCTTTAGACAGCTGAGGGAGAATAACGGTGGAGCTACTCATCACTGAGTTCATGTTTGGAACTTTCTGTTTGGGTTTTTTTGGTCCTAAACTTTAGATCAGCTGTAAAACAGCCTGTTTCAGTTTAAGCTTTGATTTCAAATATCTACATGCTCAAAAACATGTTTTGCACCATTGCCATCCTGGTTACATAATAAAAGATGAAAAATGCTTTATGATCATTTATATTAATAAGAAGATCAGGAAAGCTGGAGTGCTAGCACGATTTCTCCAAGCATGAATTTGTGTAACACTTTCTTAGCTGCCAGTACGTTTCTGGATCCTCCCAAATAAACTGGAAGTCTCACGAATGTCACTGAACATCTGTTTCTGTTCTTCATCGCATATTTTTCTTCTCGGGCTTCTTTCCATTTGAACCTATTATTGATTTTCTTTCTTTAGTTTATAAGTATAGTTTTCTGCATGCTCCTCTGTTGTTTGCTTTTTAAATACGCTCTTGCTGGTTCGTCTGTGTGTTCAAGGACTCACCCTCTGTGTCTTTGTTGTCTCTCAGGACGAGGTCTTCCTCCTTTGAGTGAATACCTTCTGCCTCCTCATCCTCCTCTTGAATAGACTCAGACTTCCGTAAAGAAATCTGAGATTCCAACCGTGCTGACAGAAATAAAAAGATCTTGATCTAAACGAATTAGGAAAAGCAACATCGATCCACCACCTGGACCCAACCTTCACATACACACTGTTAACAAGTGTACAACACATCAGACACAGTCACCATAATGGAAACTATATTATTGGCTTAACAAAAGGCCCACGCTGCCACCTAGTGTAGGCATCAGCTCACTGTCTTCATCAGCCTGTATCAGGTTTTAGGTGCTGTTGAAACATTTCTCACTGTCTCATGTTATAGAACGACACCAACATTAACATGTACAGTAAGGTCCTATCATCACTTGAATAACCCAATCAGGGTGGCTGTCAGACATTTAGCTGGAAAGCAACCCAACACATTCAGAACGCACTGCAGCAGTTAGAGCACATTTAAGTTCAATATTAGCTCTAGTCTGAAAGGTTCCTGTTTATATTTTCTTATGTATAACATTTTATAGTAAACAGTATAAATGTGTTCTTAAGATGTATTTATTATTGTTGTTATTTTTTTAGTCTGACGAGTGGCTGCTTTCTGGTTTCTACCAGAGACACAAATCCCCTTCGAGGCTTTTGTTTGTTATAAATATGTGTAAACAGTAAAACATGTTCCCAACTGCTAACAAACACACCCTTGTGGTTTATGCAATGATAAAAACATGCGATTAGATATGCATTAGATGCATAAAATAACTGCAATGAAAAAGTCAAAACAAACTCAAAAAATGCATTTAAAGTCACAATAAATGGGGCTGGGTTTAACAAATAGCTCTTTAAATATAAATGTATTTTGCAGGAAACGCCAGAATCTCAGGGTAAAGCTTAGAAAACTGGCAGGGAGGTTTCATCCTTACAGAATCCACAGACATCCACACCACTCACACTCATAACACATACATATAGGGCCTGCTACATCTACATGGCGTCCAGAGGGTGGTCTGTGTATTCAACCTCACCTCTGGCGCTGGCGCCCACCTCTGAGTTTTAAATGCATGTAGACGTTCTCGGGAGGGGCCGTGCTGACACCTGCTGCTCTCTGGCAGCAGCACCACGCCCTCACGTGTTTTAAATGCACTTTAGAACAACACGCAGCAGCACTACACATGAGCAGGAGGGAGGTTTGGGGTCTTCCCCATAAATCTGAAAACGCAGTTTTTGCGTTGCAGTGTGGATTGTGAAAACAGAGGCTTTCGAAAAACGATAACGCATTTTAGTCACATGATGCAGTCATGTGACCAATTCAACTAAGATGACGGACGGCATGGTGCAGCACTTCTTTAGTCTTTTCCCATTTTTCACAGCCCCATTAAAGATTACTGTCTGTTTGTACATGCTCCCCATAGCTTTTCTTCAGACACGACCAAATGCTAATTTCAGCATATTTGTTTTGGTCTATATTCTTGCTCGCTTTTCAACTTTGTACTCTTGTGTTACTCGCAGCAACAACTCCACCTCATTGTTAGTCCATTTAAAAAACTCGGTGCTTTTCCTCCACATTTTGCTGCGACGTTTCAACGAGCCGGACAGTAAATAAACAGCAGATAGAAATGAGGCAGGTCGAATCTTCTTACGTTTCACGCATGAGCAGGACTGAAACGTAGGCGTTTTTAGTCGTTTCATTGTGGATGAAAAACTCTTCGGCTCTTGTGGACACGGAGCGTTTTTAGACGAAAACCCCGTTTTCAAATTTATCCAGATTAGTGTGGACGCAGGCTAATTCATGTTTTTATTTACAGATTTCTGCATCTAAAAAAACCCACAAACAGAGAGAGAGGAGAGAGTGAGCTACAATAAAGCTAATGTCTCACATGTGCATGTGCTGGATGTTTCATCATTGTTACCTGCTGCTGATCCTCCACCACTGAGTGCCTCATCTTGCCTCACTGTTGGTTTCTGGTTGCTTTCAGAGTGTGGCTGCTTGTCAGGAGCACCTAAATCCACAGAGTCATCTGAAACAGACTGACAAAGAGATGGCCTTAAGACAAAACTGTGGTTTCCTGTTTTTTATTGCTGACATGAAGGGACCACTGATCACGGTGACATTTTTGATATTACATACACAAAGAGCTCCCTCTGTTTGGCTGAGATACGAACACTTCTCAGTAAAATACTCCTGATATTAGCCTTTCAGCACAGTTCACATGGAGTCGGTGCTCTGAGGGGCGCTGACTGTAGGCTAATCTTTGCTGCTGGTCATTAATGTTTACAGGCAGTTCTAAATATAGTCCAAGAGGGGTGACAGATGAAAAACCCACCACCCAAAATAATAAGTGACCATTTAGATTTTGATGAATCAGATCAGAATCAGATGAATGAAAGGCTTTATACAGATAATTGATAGTGTGATGATTTACAAACATCAGCACAGACGCATTAATGTTGCATTACCTCTTTTAAGAACTGCTCAAACTGTGCATCCAGCTCTTCTTTGGTTAGTCTGCGAGACATAATCATGCTCACCTCATCCACCAGCAGGAAACTAGGAAAGAACAACACACAATAAAACATTTTTATGAACAATATGAGAAGCATCACCCTCACCTACTTAATACTCAGTCACAAAGAGTCAATCTGCCATTCACAGAATGCTACTTCTGTTTTGTTGCATCATTCAAATGAATGAGAATAGTGTATGAAATATGTGAGATAACTAGGTTTTTGGCCCGGGAAGGGCTTGAAACAATTCACCCTATGAATCATCCAAACACTAATGTTATCATGTCCTTTCAAGATCTCAGGTTTTCATTTAACAGGAGCAGAAAGCCTGTTCAGAAGCACATCAGTGTAATTCACTTCAGGTCTGTTCACAGCTACTAACGTTAGCCCAAGTGCACAAACCGCACGCAAGGGTGAGTGGACGTATGGATGTCACATGTTTTCATCACATTTGAAAAACACAGAACAGTTGTAACCAAACTGCCTGACCACGGCCAAATGTTCGAGGAGGATGCACTGCCCACAAGAACCCAACAAGTTAAGCATGTTCCTTTTAAAAATGTGTTCACAGGAGTCAAAACCATCCAAAATCAGCGTCCTACCTCAACAAAATAAACTTTCCTGTCCGTCCAAATAAACTTCAAAGCACCTGTCAACCCATAGTAAGCACTTTGTGAAATATCATTTTTGCTTTGACACTGTTTCACTGCATGAAATATCAAGATTGGAAGAATGCAGTGAAATGAACCATCGTTCAGTTGGTTGTATAAAGTCGTGTCTTATAGAGACAACATTTATTTCTAAACCGTTTTAAACCAGAATTTTCAGACAAAATATTTCAAGACAGCATTTCTGTTACTATTTAGGGTGATTTTTTCTTCTTTGAAAAGTTACTGCCTTGCCTATAGTGGAGACTGATGAGGAATACACCTACTAGAAAATATGACACGCTGTACTGTTAGTATATTACGTGCAGAAAACCATTAACAGTCAGATTAGAAAACATAATGTTCTGTCCAAACACCAAAACTACCATTACTTTAATGAGTGAAACACTGTGGTGTGTTTTGCATCACATTTGAGAGAAACCGAGTCCACACTTTGACTGTGAATGCGTCTTTACTAGGTCCTCAAAAACACTTAATGATGACAAAGCAAAGTCTTCAACCACAGATGGAGTTTGCTCAGTTGCCATGGAGAGAGCTCTTTTTCACACCTGAATTATCGCCATGACAACTGAGCAAACCATGCTGCTAATGAAAACTGAACTGAGTAGTTTCTTGAGTTATGATTACCTTATTAAATAAAACAGATTTTCATATTAACTCTGACAACATTTTCGATGTGAGGCTCAAAATGATCCAATTATAAAGTGAAAAGACTCACTCGCCTATCAGGTCAATCTTTTCTTCACTGTAACACAAGTATAAACCACCATTACGCTTATTAACAACACAAATACTCAAATATTCGCGGCTTTCACGCTTATTTCACTTGGCTCGTCTGATTCATATTGTTTCATTACTACATATGTGTTTTGTCAGGTTTCATTAGGTATGTGTGTTTGTGAAGGGATTTTCCTGTAAAGCAAATTTACCTGTGGGTATAATAATAACAATAATACCTTTTATTTATAGGCGCCTTTCAGATCCTCAAGGTAACCTTACAGTAACACATAAACAATAGCATAAATAAAGTAACCTTAACCTTGGTTTAAGCATCATCAAGTGTTTTTCGACAACAGATTCTAAGACACTCACACGCATCTTCGAATCTGTGGTGGAGAAACACTGCTTGGTGCTTATTTCGCTGAAACCTTTTTTACTCTTGGTGTGCGAACTAAACGTTAAAAAGGTCAAACGTCAGCGAAACGTGCTGCATGCTAAATTACCATAACGACACACCACAACAGCCACTCTCGGATAAGCTTGCAAGTCAACGTCGCACGATGAAACGGTCACTTCCGATCACCCTACCATAATAAAGCTCGACCCCAGCCCGTCGATTAAAAACTATAATTATATAATACGATCATTCTCATTCAACTTAATTATATCTAATAATGTCTACGTTTGTTAGTGTTTTGTAAAGAATCGTTTCAGCAAATGAGTTTAATACTTCACTTTTATTGCCTGTTCTTATTGTCCTTATCTAAACGTTATGCTGCTCTGTTGTTTATTAATTGCCCCTTGGGGATAAATAAATTCTGATTCTGATACTTTGTGACTGGGTTTTATTTTGAAAATGAACTAACTTACATCCGGTATTTTCGGGCGCCTTAAAGCCAACTACAGCCGCAGTTTATCTTGTAACGCTAGCTGGCTAAAGAGAAGAGCTGTTCCCCTACGGCATCTGCTGCATCTTGAGTAGCTTAGATGTGTCGCTCTTGTATCAGCACAACTCACATAACACAGTGGACTTACTCAGCTGAACACTTGTTGAAACGTCTCCTCTGTTTGTTGTCTTAAATGACTTACCCTGACGCAACCCGATTGGCTGACCCGATGCGTCACAGGCCAACGACTACAGAAAAAAAAATCAAGACCTTTCAAAAACTGAAAGCAAAGCGTCTCTATCGCCCCCTGGTGTCGGGCGGCAGGATGGCTGTTAAACTGGTCATACTAAAACAATAAAGCTAACCTCAGCCGTTAGTAGTAATTCTCGTCTGGCTGATTTGATTCTGTTTCAGATCCATTCTATTAGTTTTATTTTGATTAATAACCTGATTCTATAAGATGAGGCATTTGATTGGCAGCTGCTGTCACAGAGAAACATGCTTATGTTTGTTTGGAAAGCTTGCTGAAAGTTAGTCAGTGTGTCATTGTTTTACTAATACTTTTTTCACTAAGATGAGTCCATTTTCACATTTTGTATCTAATCTCTTTGTGATGACTTAAGAGATGATGAATCCATTATCAATTTGCAAATTCTGAATACATTTTACTGACCACTAATATTACTGTGATATTTGTGTTATACAAATGTTATACTAACAAAAAACATTTGACAGTCAACACAAACAGTTATTATCTTCAGACTTTTTTCACATGTGTTTACTAACATTTCCTGTAGTTTCTGTCTCAGGAGTGTGGGCTGGATTATGAACTTGAGATCAAAGAAGGTAAACCTCACCGTGCAGCTTTTTCTATCTTAATGGAAGTATGGTTTCTGGAGATGTTCAGGAGAAGTTTTTAACTGCATTCTCAGTGGGCCAAAACTAGTGTCTCTGGATCCATATAATCTCTCTTTACAACTGCCTCCCCGGCTCTGTTCCACACAACCTTGCACACACTCCCCCAGCTGTGTGACAGGGATACTAGCTGGAACAAGAACGCATACATGGTGCTCCATTTTGCTGACCATCATTCCAGTTTATCTGACAGACATTACCCATAATTTTGTGCACAGTAAGCACAATACACTCATACCATATATCTTAGCTTGTAAAGTAACAGAGGAAGCATTAAATGAGCGTGCTTTCCTACTGCCTGGGTGTTTG